ATTGGTTCTGCACAAGTTGTTTGAACAGACTATTTTCCATTTATTCATCTTAAAGTTGGGCAATAAAAGCAAACAAACAAAAAAAAAACATTAAATTCCTCATAAAGTTGAATTCCTTTTTGAGAAATTTAATCACTGACTGATAGCTGTAAAAATCCACTGCACTACTAAATATAAGGGACTTGAATAAACAGATTCAAAGGCAGTCAAAAACATACTGTAAATTGGAATTCTCTTTTAATTACATATATATGTGCATTTGTGTGTGTGTATACTGTTTTATAGCAATGGTTATAAGGGAAGAAATACTCAGATTCTTGGAAAAATAATTCCAAGTTGTAATTGTGTACTTAGCTAAACTGTACATTAGATGGGAGTCTTCCTTGGTGGCCCACACAATGAAGAATCTGCCTGCAACACATGAGATGCTAGTTGGATCCTGGGTCAGGAAGATGCCCTGGAGAAGGGAATGGCTGGCTGGTGGTGGTGGTTTAGTTGCTAAGTTGTGTCCAACTCTTTGGGTTCCCATAGACTGAACCCAAAGAGTTGGGCATAACTAAGTGATTAACACTTTCACTTTTTCTCTTTTTTTCACACAAAAGAGTCAACAGAAATTCTCAAACATGGAGAGAGATTTACAAAATTATCTCCCTCTCACTCTTTTTCTCTTAGGAAATAAACTAATGTAGCATGCTGACATTTTATCAATTCTTTTCAGATCTCTTAGTACTTGGAAATTGCCTCAAATATAGTGCTAGCATATTTGCATTTGTTTTTAAAAATTCTCATTTTATTTCATTTTTTTTTTTTATGGCCACACTGCATAGCTTGTGGGGATCTTAGTTCCCCAGCCAGGGACTGAACCCCAGACACAATGATAACACAACATCCTAAACACTGGACCACCATGGAACATCCAGGAATTCTCATTTTAATACAACAGTTACTAAAACTTGCCCAGTGAATTTCATTATTATTTTTATAATTGTATTTATTATTTTTGGCTGCGCTGTGTCTTTGTTTTTGCACAGGTTCTTGTCTGGTTGCAATGCTCGGACTTATTGTCTTGGCTTCCTTGCTGCAGTCACGGCTCCCAGGGCCTACAGCACAGGTTCCGTGGTTGTAGAGCACAAAGGCTTAGTCCTCCATGGCACGTGGGATCTTCCCAGACCAGAGATTCAACTCGTGTCATCTGAGTTGGCAGCATATTCTTTATTACTGAGCCACCAGGGAAGCCCTGTCCAAGGACTTTTAAAATGCCCTCCTCTTAAAGACAAGGAATAACATCCTTTCTAATCTTTTCTTCAAAGCACTTGTTTTTCCTCTTTGACTCAAGATTAGGGTTATATTTTAACACTTCTTTCTATGCACACCTCTACCATTCCATCTTGATGAAGAATTTTAACAGCTATTACTTAAGAGAAGTAGTTGTCCAGCTCTTCTGACATGGAACATGGTGGGCCCATGTACAACCAATCATATCCATAATTCAAAGAAGCTTGTGACTTACAATATGTTTTAAAGATCTCTATGATTCTCATAGTTTTATGTAATAAATATGTAAACCATTTAATGGACTTCATATAAATGTAACTAGAACTTAAGAGTTAAGAAATTTCAGAGGAACATAAATAACACCAAGAGCAACAAATTCCTTTTGCCAAAGAGGCAAGTATCACAGGAAGTTTAAGGTGCTGACCCCAAGTGACTTTTACAGTTAGTGATAGGATTTGGTACAAAATAAATTTTAAATTTTTTTCTAGTGGATCATACCACTGTTTCTCTCATGTGTTGATGTAATACTTCTTTGACCACAAAGATTGCATTTTCAAAATTTGTGAGTAATATACATATATTACATAGAATATGTACACATATACTTCTGTAAAGGTAAGCATGAAATGTAATTAAAAAGTTATGTATGATTATTGCCAACCCCTTCCCATGTAAATTTTAAGCATTTTTATATTGTTTAACTCCTGAATAAAGGCCATTTACTGTGATATTATAAACAAAAATGAATCTGTAGATATTTACAAGTATTGAAATATTAGGCCCAGTGCTTTCAGTAGTGTGAGTGATGTACCATAATATTACTAATTTATGAGCACCAAAAGACCTCTGCTCACCTTGTCACTTTTGTGGTTTCCCATTGTACATGAACTTATTTCCATTCATGATTTTTATGTTTTTTTTATTTTGTTTGCCTCTTTGTTGTAAATAAAATATGTCTTTGATTTTTTTTCCTGTTAACATCTCTACGGTTCTTATGGGCTAAATACATCCCCATAAAATTCATATTTTGAAGTCCTAACCATCAGTACCTTAGAATATGACTATATTTGGAGAAAAGACCTCTAATGAGTTAATGAAGATTAAAAATAAAAAGTCGTGTGAGCGGGCTCAAAGTGACTGCTGTCCTTAGAGAAGAGGAATGAGCCCAAGCGTGGGGGCTGGGACAAAAACATGCAGAGAAATGAAGAAAAGGCAGCCATGGAAAAGCCAAAGAAAGCAACCCTTGGAAGAAAACAACTCTACAGACCCCTTGATCTTAGACTTCTAGCTTCCAGAAGCTTGAAGCTTCTTGCTTGAAGTCACCCAGTCTGCATTGCTTTGTCATGGCAGCCCTAACAAATGAATTCAGTGGTTTAGCAAACCTAAAAGATAGAGGTACCTGAAAAAAGGCTTATTCATTTGGTGCAAGTAAGAACCACCAATTTCACGCGCTTGCTTAGTATCTCAGTCACGTGCCTTGAAATGACCTACTTCCCCTAAGTCTTTGTGGCATCATTGCTTCTGATATAAATACATGAAGAGGCAGTCAGATTCTCTAACAAGGTGCAACAAGCAGTCATTGTTGACAAGAATCAGCTGGAAGTGATTTGCATAGTAACCTTCTTCAAAGGACCTTGCATCATGGCATAGCCAGTCATGTTGCTGGGGCAGACCCAGAAGTTGACATATTTTTTTCCTTCAGAATAGTTATGGAATCACCAGCTTTTTAAAAAATTGCATGAACACTTCCCAAAGCAAAATATACTGCAAATTATCACACTCCATCAAGACTGAATGCAGTTCCCTGGGATGAGACAAAGGTAAAACCATCAAAGTGGGGAAGAACTGTTGATCTATATAAGGAAGACAAGCAGAGTCTGCAGTTATGAGACACCAAAAGAGCAATGGGAAATGCAGATTCAAGTGGCCAAATTAGCACAACATAACTATCAGATATTTATTTCTGAAGTAAGCATTGAATAATAAATAGGACTGAATATAATTTGCATACATGATTTCTATTTCTACCCATTTTCCCCATATGCGAATGTTTCCTTTCACACTTTGCAATACAAATATAATTATAAATATTTAAGAAATGCAGCTGGATATAGAAGATGTCTTCAGAAATAGTTCATAAGTAACTTTTATTTTTCCTACATATTGTTTTAATATTTCAGTAGTCACTTGTATAGTTATAATATTAAGAAAATATATTCTTACTATTTATAGGTAGTTACCTGTTTTGTTAAGTGCCTTTCTAGATAATGTAAAGTTCACTTAAAAGTGATGTATCAGTATATGAGTGCAGCTTACCTGTCTGCTTATAAAATCTAGTAGTTCTAAGAAACTTCAGCAAACTAAAAAGTAAGGTTTTTTTACAAAGGAGAGTCATGATATTGTTTATATTAGAATTGTAGATAATAGGGTAAAGAAGTAACTGAGCTCCAATAGAATGATGCTCCAAGTTGAAATTCACGTTAATAAAATAAATAAATCAATTGCCAGATCTTGCATTAGTGTACATTTAGGTGTTATATTTGGTTTGAATTTTCCAAAGTTCTTGATGTTTCATTTGTTTGGTAATTATTAGTAAATATTTTTAAAAATGCTATAAATCCATTATGCATTATTTGATAAATGTTTTATCTTCTTGGCTCATCAAAGAATCACTAGCTTGTAAGAAACTCTGAGAAGCTATATATAAATTTATCTTCCCTTGTTTAAATCAATGACATTTTCCACAAAAATGTTTCATAATAACACAACTTAAATTTTTGGTATGACTGAAGACTGTAAGGATCTGATGATTTTGTTAAAACCAACCTTTCACGCACTGGCACAATATTAAAACAAAACCAATATTTATTTTCATCTGAATTTCAGCCTGAGGCTTCTTTTATAAAGAGTTTTTTTTTTTTAATCTTCTTTTTAAAAATTTTATTTCTTTGGAAAACAATTGACATTTTCATGAACACTTTCAATAGGAACTAATATTAAGATCAAACATTGCTTTTAAAATTTGGGACTTACATATTAACTTTGTTATTATCGCATTTATTTCAATTTTCTGAAAGGGTAGGAAAAAACAAATATATATTAGCATACATTTTAAAAAAGAAAAAAGAGCAGTTTAATTATAAGAAGATGGAGTTCAGAAAGTTTTCTTCTTTTTTCCTTAAAAGGAATGAGAAGTCGGCATGTTGCTATTGCTCCTTGACATAAAGACAGGGTCTTTGTTTTATGTCCTCTGTGTCTGAATCCTGCAATGCCATCACAGCAGAGAGTATTCTACACCGCTTTAAATGATAAGAGTTTCAATAGGCACTTTAGTGGAATTAAGAAAAATCTAACACTCTTCCACCGTGATGCCACATAGCTATCTTCGTTCTAGGTTGTCACGTCAGTAAATTGTATTGAATAGGCCTGAGCTCGTCTCGGTATGTTTCCAAAATAACAAAACAAAACCAAGCAAGTACACACTAGAGGATTTATCTTGTGTTGGCAGAATAAACCAAAGCTGACAATATGATAAATATAGCAACTTGCTAGAAACCAGATAATCAAAGGAATCTTGTCCTAGAAAGCCGTGTGTGTGTGTGTGGTGTGTGTGTGTGTGTGTGTGTGTGTGTGTGTGTGCTTGTGTGTGCACGTGTGTGATTTCTATTTATGTTCCTTTCCCTTAAATTCCTTCTGTAGGCTGTGTTTTAATCTTTGCCTCTCCCTTAAGTGACTTTATCAGGGTTATAACTCTCTTCTTCTCCAAACATGTCTGCCAAGACTTTAAAGCGGGGTCCCCAGTCTGTTAGGTAGTTGTAGTCCTGGTCCGCTTCCGTGGTCAGAGACTCTATGGAGCTGAGAGAGTCGGCTACTGATCCGTCGCCTTCATAGGCATATGTTGCCAGTGAATCATAGGGTGGGGCTGTGGGGTCCACATCATGTTCTTGTAGCCTTTGATTAATGAAATCCCTTATGTCTGTGTTATCTTCCACTGGTGGTCTCTGACGAGGTAAACAGAGAGAGTCTGGTTTTATATCCCTGCGAATTTTGTTATCTTCAATCACTTTTGGGTTTCTCAGAGCACCAATGTCGAAAGCCTGGGTGTCCTCCTCCCCGCCTCCTTCATCATCGTAATGGATAACGTTGTCTCTGATGTCTTCTTTAGAGGTCATCAAGGTGTCTTTCTTCTTCTGCCGTCGCAGAGCTACATACAGCACAACTATGGCTAGAACAAGACAAAAATGGCAAAGTGAGACTATGTCTGCTCATCTCTCTGTAAGAAATTAAATTGATCAGGGCTGGCTGAGTTTTTTAATGACATCCTATTATTTTCAAAGTACACATATTGTAATCTGTATGGATCCTATGTATGCTGATTTTCATTGTTTAAATTCAGTTTCATTTTTAAATTGTAGCTACAGTGAAAACATTGCAAAACTCACAAATTCTAATAACAGTAGTCTTATATTTGACATATGTTTAAATATCTCAGTGTCAGGTAATTTGTTACAAAGTTTTAAAAAAGCAGACAGAGAAAGGCAAATATATAATTTATATGTTGAATTTTAAAAAATGGTGTAAATGGACCTATTTACAAAATAAAAATACAGTCACAGATGTAGAAAATAAACATGGTTACCAAGGGAGAAATGCGGGAGAGAGAAAGTGGGAGATTGGAATTGACATGTACACACTACTATATATAACATAGATCATGAATAAGAAACTATGATGTGGCACAAGGGACTGTAGGCAATATCTTGTAATGACCTATATGGGCAAAGAATCTAAAAACAAGTGGATATATATATGTGAATAACCACTTCACTTTTCTGTATACTGAAACTAACACAGCACTATAAATCATATATACTCTAATAAAAAATTAATATAAAAAAGAAAAAGTAAAAGAATGGCTTGTCCAATCATACATAGAACTGTATAGCACTGAAGTAATAAACTTGGGCCTTCCCTGGTAGCTCATCTGGTAAAGAATCCACCTGCAACTCAGGAGACCCCAGTTCAAATCCTGGACCAGGAAGATCTCCTGGAGAAGGGATAGGCTATCCACTCCTGTTTTTTGGGCACCCCTAATGGCTCAGAAAGTAAAGAATCTGCCTGCAATGTGGGAGACTCAGGTTCAATCCCTGGGTTGGGAAGATACCTTGAAGGAAGGTATGGCAACCCACTCCAGTATCCTTGCCTTGACAATCCCCATGGACAGAGGAGCCTGGCAAGCTACAGTCGATGGGGTCACAAAGAGTCAGATATGATGAGTGACTAAGCACACAAAATAAAACTTGAGGGGCTTCCCAGGTGGCTCTAGTGGAAGAGAACCTGCCTGACATTGCAGGAGACAAGAAACCCAATTTCAATCTATGGGTCAGGAAGATCCCCTGGAGGAGGGCATGGCAACCCTCTCCAGTATTTTTGGCTAGAGAATCCCATGGACAGAGGAGCCTGGAGGGCTACAGTCTATAGGGTGGCAAAGAGCTGGACGTGACTGAAGTGATTTAGGACACAGTAAAACTTGAATATTTTTGCCCATAACTGACACTTAGATATTATTCATATCTAGATTTACCTTGTATTAACATTGCTTTATTTCTGACAAAATAAACACAAATCACAGAAAAGTCACTTTTAAAAGCATTAAACAAGAAAGAGAAAAAGAAAAAGAATATACAATATAAGAGTCAGCTTTCCAAATTGTGTCAAGTAAGACCACAAATTATTTAAATTCTGTGTCTTACCATATTGAGATATTCTCCAAACTAAATGCTTAGTAATCAGCTGGCCTTCTTAAAACAAGATCACACTTTGAAATACTTAATTTATAGACTTATCATCGAATATCTCTTTTTCCCCATCGACTTATGGTCATCATTATTTTGATATTTATTTTTGAGTGAATAAACACAGATTCACACCATTAAGTCAGTGCTCAATTTTGCCTGGAATAATTCTCCCCTCTCCTCTATAGCAGTGGGAATAGATTGAAAGCCAAATGTGTTTAATTTAACACAACAGTGTTTGGAAGAAAGATCTTGTCACAGGATTAGAAAGTAGGTGACTACATGATGATTAAAGCAAGTTTATTCCCTTTTCTTCCAAAATTAAGGAGGAAGATAGAGGAGATAAAGGTAGGGCTTCTGTACAATGTGTTTTGAAGAGATGTTCAGCACTTTTCACTTCTGGACTTTATGCAGATCTCAGAACTGAAAACACTATGGTTTGTTCATCCAAAGTGTGTGTGAGAGAGCTTAACCCTCATAGAGAGACCTGCATATGTATTAAATGGCTTTTTTTTTTCATTTATTTTTATTAGTTGTAGGCTAATTACTTTACAATATTGTAGTGGGTTTTGTCATACATTGACATGAATCAGCCATGGATTTACATGTATTCCCCATCCCGATCCCCCTTCCCACCTCCCTCTCGACCCGATCCCTCTGGATCTTCCCAGTGCAACTCCTGCAGCTCAATTCCAGAAAAATAAATGACCCAATCAAAAAATGGACCAAAGAACTAAACAGACATTTCTCCAAAGAAGGCATACAGATGGCTAACAAACACATGAAAAGATGCTCAACATCACTCATTATCAGAGAAATGCAAATAAAATGGCTTTAGAGTTGCCATGACTGACACTAGTTAGATGTGCTTGAGAGTCAAATAGAAGTTCCTGGGCACCACAAGATTCTCATGCTTTCGCTCACCCTAGGAAATATATAAAATGGCTAAGAATAAGATGATCTAAAGGGCTCTGAGATTGGCTACAGAGATCAAATAGATGGATTTGTAAGCAGACCCCGTGGCAAGATTAAGAGTGTCAACATTCAAAGCCGTGTACCAGCAATTCACACCTAGGTACAGGGTAGACACCTGGTAAATACTTCGCATGTGTGTGCTAAGTTGCCTCAGTCATGCACAAATCTTCCATGGACTTTAGCCCACCAGGCTCCTCTGTTTATGGGATTTTTCAGGCAAGAATACTGGAGTGGGTTGCCATGTCCTCCTCCAGGAGACCTTCCTGATTCAGGAATCAAAGCCAGGCCTCCTCATTGCAGGTGGATTCTTTACCGTCCAAGCCACACATCCTAATAAGTACTTTAAAATTTTATTTTCTACCCCAGAGATAAAGGTATGCGTGTACATTTGTCAGAATATTTTGGTTAAATAATGCACATGCATAGATATAAGCTGATTCCACAGAGCCCAACTGTACCTCTGTTGAAATTTTCATTTAAAGGAATGACTGGAAAAGTAAAAATAAAAAATCTCTCTGTGTTTTTGTGAATACAGTAGAGGATGAATAAATGAAAGAAAGTCAGCTGAACAAAGCTGATGGAAGAGGGAGGCCCCTGAAGTAGGTTTTCATTCTCACAGAGATATTACAGAATACATTTTCTTCAATCCTTTCCCTTCGCTGTGCTTCTCGATATTTTAGTGTATTCTGTTTTGTCCTAGTGGGAATGGTGAGAGTCTTGATGTAAGGAGATCTGAGAAAAGTGGAATAAGAATTGCTTCTGGCCAGCACTTTAGACAGAAAAAAACAAATTCAGAGGGGCCTTTACTTCTTTCCTGTGCTTTCTCTTTTCTTTCATTCTTTATTGAACCAATATTGGACAACTACTCTGTGCTTAGTATCATTTTAAAGGTTCTACAATCCCATAATTACCAGGATGTAAAAAAAAGAATTTAAAATTGCTGCTGCAAATGGGATAGAAAAGTTCATTGCAGCAAGTGCCACAAACTGTTCATACTTGAAAATTCCCTAGGGCTTGAACATACTTTTGGTGAAATAAATATCACCAAATTTCACTATATTATCAAATATTATCAAATTTCACTTTGATAAAAATATAATTCAGTTTAGATAGTCTTCCTTCTATCTATATGCAGCAGCTCAATGAAGAAACACTGATTTACATGGCAAAATGAGAAGAGAGATACACAGACAAGGGAGAGAAAGAGAATACGTGATTAATATTGAAACCAACCTAAGAGGATAACAACGCACAGAAGGATTGCAATCAAAGCCCCAGTGCTAAGTCCTACAGGTAGAAAAATTGCTTCCACGTTACAAGACAGGATGGTACCATCAGAGTCACATCGACAAACTCGAATAGTCATTGTGTTTGTGCTACTCTGGACAGGATAACTGCTGTCTTCTATTACAACCGGGAGGAAATACAACTCTTGCTGCCTGCGGCTGTATCCATTTCTTCGGGTTTCAATTCCAGCTGTGTTGTCTACAAAACATGACACATATGGTAAGATGGTTACTATGAGTATCACTTCAAATCTTCAAGTTGGTATCTGTTAAACAGTGGGAAGCTCTTCTTGAATCAGTAAAATACACCACATTTCAATTCTTTCTTTTATCATTATGAAAGCTGCCAAAATGTAATCAGATGTAATCAAAGAAAATCCTTCAGAAAAGAAGAAACATTAATCTTGTCTGCAGTAAGAATTAAATTTTTTATTGAGAAAGAATAGAAAATTGGTTACAAGACAAGAAATATGTTGTATCAAAACACTTATCTTTTTCTGACATCAAAATCTCACAGAGAAAACAAACCTCAGTGGATGCTTTCTTACATGATTAGAAGAACAAAGATTATAAAGGATGAATCAGCATAACATTTTACCTAAGAATGTAGTCTTTAAAATATGACACATATCAATATACTATTTCAGATAAAATTTGACTTTTTACTTTTCCCAAGTTTATATCTATGCTACATATATGTATATATGTGTGAATATATGTATACATTTTCACTTTTCTAAAACAGCACAAGAAACATGGAAAAGAAAAGAAAATGTGTTAAATCAAGATTCATTAAAATTTGTAAGGAGTTGGAATCACAATAGCCATCAATTCTATCAATTGCCAGATAAAGAAATGTGATATATATGTATATATATATAGATATAGATAGATATACATATATTCACAATGGAATATTATTCAGTCATAAAAAGAAAGGGAATCCTGTCATTTGTGACAACATGGATGAATCTAGAGGGTATCATGCTAATGAAATAGACCAGACAGAGAAAGACAAATACTGCGTGATAAAACTTACATGGGGAATCTAAGGAAAAAAAGAAAAGTAGAACCCATAGAAATAGAAAATATAAAAATAGTTGCCAGGGACTGGAAGTGGGGAGAAATGGGATAAAGTTGGTAAGAGGCTTAAAAACTCTCAGTTATAAGATGAATAAAGTCTGAAGATCTATATTATAGTATGGTGACTGTAGTTGATAACACTGTACTGTATAATTGAAATTTGCTGAAAGAGTAGAACTTAAATGTTCTCATAAAATAAAGGTGAAAAAAGTGTCTATCCATTTAAACCAAGAACAGCTTTCAATTACACTTAAAATATAGCAAGATAAAATGAGGATATGGTAAATGGCGTGAGTGGCAAATACATGTTTAGATCATGAAAATATACTATCATGAGGCAAAGATCTGATTCATGTTACTATGAGTAACCAAATATAGATTCTCCAGCAAATATAAAATGGTGGAAAACAGTCAATACTTTGGTTCCTGAATGATATGACTGTCTATTTAGTTGCCCAAGCCAATGGTCTGCAAGTCTTACTAGTTTTCTTCATCATTTTTACATAGAATCTAGGAGATATAGCATCAAGCTTATGTATTCTATATCCCAAGCCACTAACCTCCATCCTCATAGCCGTGTCTCTAATTCAAGACACTTTCATCCATTTTCTGCAATAGTATCAAATATAGTTTTGTCTTCCTCTATTGTTTTCTACACTGGATCCATTCTGATCTGCTAAAGTGCTCCTGTGTAAACCTTTCAAAGATTTCCCAGGTCATTGGATTTAAGTTATAAACTCTTTAAATGGCTTATAGACAGCTTAACTAAAGTCAGAACAGCTGATCTGTTGCCAGCCTTAATGTATTTAATCCAGTGTCCTTTGTATTTTTGTAGTGATTTTAATAACAGCAGATGTTACTAAATATTAGTAACAGTGATGGTAGTAGCAGTGGTGGTAGATATGTAAGTTAGTTATGATGACAGAGCTGGTAGCTAAAGTTATCTTAAAGGTAATAAATTCTAGGCACTATGTTAAAGGATTTGCATTACATCATCTTATTTAATAAAACAAACATGAGGTTAATTTATGTTAACTATGAAGTTGAAATTATTTAGTATACTTTAATGTATTGAGAATCTGCCATTTAGGTTGTTTTGCAGTAGGAGTGAAAACCTGTATTATTTTCACTAAAAAGCCTGCGCCATACCATGTGTCATACAAATAAAAGAATTACTTGTATGCACGAGCAGTGCATGTAAAAGAAATGATATATTTAAAACATGAAAAGTAATTTCCCAAACAGTATATTGGTTGTCTGACTCATTAAGGGAATGCCCCCATTATAAATGGAAGTAACTTGCCTCATTAGACATAGTCTACATAGGTTAAACAGTTTACTGTTAGTCATAAATTTTGTATTTCTTGTATATAGATTTCTATATTTTAAAAAGTTGAGTGCTTTTAGGAAGAGCATTGATTTATACCTTTGTGTCCTTTTACAAAGTTGCCTGATAAAGCTAAATTTTCACGAAGTTAAACTTACTTCTGAAGTCACGAACTGTAAAATTTGGTTTGATGGCAGCTTCCGGTGATAATTTAAAGGAGAACTGCTGTCCAGCCGGTGAAAGATCTCGGTCTGCAGCACTGACTATCTGGATTATCTGAAACAAAGTTGAGATCAGACTTGAAATCAAGTCATTGATTTCAAAGGGAACTCTACATACCAGGCTAATACATATATTTAATGAAACATGCAAGAAAACCAAAATGACATTTTCAGAATTTATATCATTGGGCCAATCATTTACAAATACTTTTATAGACAGTAAAATATTTAGAGTTAATAGTGGCAGGTACAATTACAGGGTATGGACTAATTCTAAATCAATGTCCACATAACTAAAGAGAATAACAATGTTGAAAATTCTCACTAATAAGCAAAATAAAATTAAAATGTCCTTGCTTGCATTTTAAACTAGACAAAATAATGCTTTCTAGCCTAAATATGAAAATACTTACTGGAGACAAAATCTCTGATTATTTAAAAGTCCTTTCAAGGAAAAAAAAATTAGTATCATTATGTTTGTGAGAATGAGTTTTATCTTCATAAATAAGTAAAATAGTGAGAAGGAAGCAGAGAATATAGATCTGTTTTTGTTGTTATGTTACCGCCCCCCCCCCCCGCCCCCGCCACCAGTGGGTGACAATATAAATTATGTTTTCTTGGAGTTTTTTTTTTTTTTTAAGAAGTAATCATGACCAACTTTGTTTCAAACATTTTCCTAAATTGCTCCCAAAAGTGGTATATCTAAACAGTTAAAATTCTGATATTTCAATGAGACTCCCTTAGGAATTTGGTGATTAACTTTCAAGAGCCAAGCTATGACACTGATAATTCACTGTGTAAATAAACAAATACAAATGGCTTTGAGGTATTTATTTATTAATATATGCAATGGCTTTGCATCAGGAAGAAATTGCAGGACATGTGTGCAGAAGAGGAAGGCAGGGTGCTGCTCAGGTGACCACATTCTTAGACTAAATTTGAATTTGCCAGAGGAAGACCTTAGATAATCCTGTGCACTTAGATTGCATTAAAGTGCCATTAAACATGAGAGTTATTTGCCCCTATTTGTTTTTATTCCATGGTTAAAACTCAGACTTATGACTGCTGTCTGCCTTCTATATAGCTGTGTGTTTTGGTGGGCACACACAGGACCACACACAAGTACACAACATATATACTGGGGCTTCAAGTTCACTGCTAGGTAATTTTTAATTTGATCATGGAATCTCTAATGCGAATTTCAGTTGCCTATTTTACTGTGGACATTTCCAGGTGAGTAAAGTGGGCTTCCCTAGTAGCACAGATGGTAAAGCCTCAGCCTGCAGTGCAGGAGACACGGGTTCGATCTCTGGGTCGGGAAGATTCCCTGGAGAAGAAAATGACAACCCACTCCAGTGTTCTTGCCTGGGAAATCCTGTGAACAGAGTAGCCTGGTAGGCTAAAGTGCATGGGGTTGCAAAGAGTCGAATATGGGCGTAACTTAGCAACTAAACAGCAATAAGCTTTACTGTGATTCAGTCACACAGGGTCTATTTAGCCATTAGAATTATCATGGATTCAACTCCAAAGGCCAAACTGTGGAATATGGCAATTTAGTCTAATGATTACCACGCAAACCCTGTAAAGCTTCAATTTTCCTCAAATAAAACCATGTACTCAGATCACTATATCTCATCCATAAAATTTCTTTAAATTATTTGGGGATTCATTTGCCAAGTTTTGCTTTGCCTTTGCTATCAACTAGCATAATTATTTTTTCATAATAAATCAACATCAAATTTTATGAAGAAAATAACTTCATAACAAAAAAATATTTTAAAATAGCATACAGAGGTGACCTTTTTGGTATAAACTGGAAATGATCTGGAATAGACACGGGAGTTATTGCCCTAAGGAGCTACTGAAGCCAATACATCATTGATTCATCATATAAGTCACTATTGACTTATGTAGAGTCATCTTTTCTCTTCTTTTGATAGGTAGAAACAGGCACAGAGATGGATAGGTAAGGCATACATACATACATACATACATATATACATATATATTAAGTTATTACATAATCCAAAACAGATAGTTCCTATGCATAGTTTCTAGACCCTTAGGATGACTGGGATCAAAAGCAGGAAATGCTCATATACTGTATTTCTCATATTTCAGGGCTATATTTTGTATGTAACTGTGGCCCCAAAGGGCTTCCCTGGTGGCTCAGTCGGTAAAGAATCCGCCTGCAGTGTGGGAGACCTGGGTTCCATCCCTGGGTTGGGAAGATCCCCTGGAGGAGGGCATGGCAACCCACTCTAGCATTTTTGCCCAGAGAATTCCCAAGGATACAGGAGCCTGACAGACTGCAGTCCATGGGATGGCAAAGAGTTGGACACAACTGAGTGACTAAGCACAGTGGCCCAAAAGAATGCAAAATGTTTGACATATAATTATTATGTAAAAGAGCTCTCAGCAACCCCACAGATTTCTTACCACTTTATCTGAGTATACAAAAATAAAGTTATCTCTAACAACTTCTACTATTCCCAATTTTTTAATTTATTAGAGAAACATAAAAACATTAGAGTTCTATTTCCAAAAGTCTTTAAATTGGCACATTACACGATTCTGATTGCTATGATATAATCAATGTCCCACATTACCTAAAAATAAAGGACTAGCTTTGAGAGGCCGGTGGAAGGCTCTGGAAAGTAGTAAATACCTCTAAATTGTCAAACTTTGGTAAACTTCTTTTCATTTTTTATCTGTGTGTTCAGTCACTCAGTTGTTTCAAACTCTTTTGCGACCCCATGGACCGTAGACCACCAAACACCTCCGTCCATGGGATTTTCCAGACAAGAACACTGGAGTGGGTTGCCATTTGCTACTCCAGGAAATCTTCCCAACCCAAGGATCTAACCTACGTCTCTTTCGTCTCTTACATTGGCAGGTGGATTCTTAACCACTGTGTCACCTGGGAAGCCTCTTATAACTTTGCAAATAATGAAATCCAGCATAAATTTTGCCTGCATTTAAAGGGATAAAACATTTAACTTTAAATGTACACACACACACACACACACACACACACACACACATATATATATTTCTGTGTCTATTTAAAGTTAAAGGTGCAAATTTATCACTTGGGAACATATGATTAAATAAGTCATCCTGTAACACAGTTAATGAAATGAATGTGTTAGTTGCTCAGTCATGCCCAACTCCTTATGACCACATGGACTGTAGCCCACCAGGTTCCTCAGTCCATGGAATTATCCAGGCAAGAATACTGGAGTGAGTTGCCATTCCCTTCTCCAGGGGATCTTCTCGACCCAGGGATTGAACCTGAGTCTGCACTGAAGGCACATTCTTTACCATCTAAACTACCAGGGAATTTTCTCCAAATTATTAAAAAAAGGTAATTGGGCAACACAGTCCCCTAGAAGTTTCTGTACTGATGGGAACACTCTGCATGTACATGGATAAAAACGGTAGCCACTTGGAAACTAAGATTAGCTAATAATAGCTACCGTATAAAAATATATAACTAATAAGGGCACAGGGAACTGTATATTCTGTAATAACCAATATGGGAAAAGAGTCTGAAAAAGAATGGATATGCATCTATGTATAACTGCTTCAATTTTCAGTACACTTGAAACTAACTCAATACTGTAAGTCAACTATACTCCAACAAAAGTATTTTTAAAAAATTGTAGATACTCATCTCATATAGCTACCAGGCACTAGAAACAAACAAGTGTGAATGATAACTTTTAAAATTTAATTAATATTAATCAAATACATATAAGGCTAGTGAACATCACACAACTAGAGCCATGTGAGAAATATTCTATGAAGCAGTAGAAAGCATTCAAATGGAAGCAAATACTAGATATTAAAGAAGGACATTTTTAATAAAGATACAGTTTCAAATATTAAGATATTTCCTCAAGCAAGAATTAAAACTTCACATTTACTTAAATAAGTAGTTAAATAGTTATTCTGGTAAAAGAAATAGAAATAGACATCAAACCAAAGCATATAGATAGATTTTTCTTTTGGAACCTAGGTGCACAATATTGGATTAATTATATTCTTATTGCATAACACACTCTTACCATCTGCTCATGCCTGGTTCCTATTAATCATATTCAGTTCAGTTCAGTTCACTTGCTCAGTTGTGTCCAACTCTTTGTGACCCCATGATTTGCAGCACGCTAGGACTCCCTGTCCATCACCAACTCCTGGAGTTTACTCAAACTCATGTCCATTGAGTCTCATATCATATCATATCTCCATTCATTTATTTAGGAAAGTGAAAGTGTTAATTGCTCAGTCATGTCCTACTCTTTGCAACCCCATGAACTGTATAGCTCCTTTGCCTATGGAATTCTAGAGGCAAGATTACTAGGGAAGGTAGCCATTCCCTTCTCCAGGGAATCTTCCTGACCCAGGCATCGAACCCAGGTCTTCTTCACTGCAGGCAGATTTTTTACCATCTGAGCCACCAGGGAAGTCCTTTATAATAGTGTTTATAGAAAAGCTGGTTACTCACCATTACCCACATGAATGCTAGGATTTTGAAAGTAACTTTCATTAACAATATGGTCCTTCCTCATATGCTCTCCCCACTAGAACCTCCTTCCAGAGTTATACTTAGTAAGAAAATGTAATTCAGATATTTTGAATAACCCAGATGTTCTATTCAAGGCCACCAGAGAAAGTTTTCCATTTTTTATGAGTTTAAGAGTATTTATGCACCCCTTCATAAAAGCATGTGAACAAAGCAAGAAATATCATAGAAGAATATAGTCTAAAGCTTTTTGCTTACTGGACTTGCAGTCACAAGTTATTTGGAAATTTCATAGTCTACAGAAAATAGCAGAATATGCAATTCTAGAACTGTTAGTTATACAGAATATATTCACTAGGCCATCATCATTTTTATCCCATGTGGTATTAATTCCACATGCAACACATGCCATTAATTGAAAAGAATTCCATTTATGGTTTATTTGATGAAGACGTATGATCTGTGTCTATATACATGCATGGTCTCATAACCTAAAACACATGCATATAGAAGGTCTTTATAAAATCTTAAATAACAACATGGATAAAATACCTGTCCTGGTTTGGCATTTTCACACACAGCTGTCTCATACGGCACAGATATTTCTGGAGGAAATTCATTGACATCTAGGACATTAATTAATATGTTGACTTTGCTGGTTAATAATGGGTTACCTGTTAAAAATATACAAGGAGAAAAGATGATTACAAAATCTGATCAATCATTGCTTTTATGGTGAATATCACTAACATTTAAAAATCAGCATTCATATGGAATCCAGAAGACTTTTTCTTTATGGGAAACTGAGGCATTGTGTCAAATCTAAACGATAAAAGATGAATATGGGCGCTCTGCCTGTCTCACTGTCAGAGAACCAGCAGTGCACTACACAAGAATTTATCCCTGAAAATCACCCCCAAAGTTAAGGACAACCATTTAGCTCATGTTTCATAAAAAATGCAGCCATCAAACTAGAGTGAGTTAACAGGACCAATCTTCACTAAACAGTGATTTTCATTTTTCATTGAATAAAACATATGCTTTTATATGTGTGTCTATAACTTTATTCAGTAGTATCATTTACATATTTAAATAACTTTCTCAAAATGATCCCCTCTAAAAAGATGATAAATCACAAGGAATATGAAGAAGAGATGACTTTTTATAGATGAAAATTAAAATAAACTTAAGGAAGTAGAACTAAGAGATTACGTAGTTAGGATGCACCCTAAAACTATTTGCTGATGATGAGAAAAGACAAAATAAATAGCATTTCCTTTCTACAGTGTCAAAAAATACTGCTTTAAAAATTGTCTCTGTCAAAATCCCATCACAAGTTTTAGTCCCAACCTGCGATATGGTACCAACTTCTCTGTCCTTTGCTGAAGAAGACCAGGCATGATTCAACAAATAAGGCATAACATAATGGATAGGTTTCAATTTATTTATTTTACCTAATGAAACTTTACAGATGGATAAAGTGCCCCAGGTTGTTGTATCTTGTCCAAAGTCACACATCTAGAGGAATGGGGAGTTAATATCCAAACTCAGGACTATGGAAATCCAAGTATTATGTTCACTCCACTTTTTTAATGATTGGTTATTGTGTTAGATTCTTCATCTGCAGTGCCACTGAAGATTCACAGTATTGGCATTGTTTTAGATCTCTGTCTGGATGCTTTTAAAGAATACATACAAATCTTACCACATGACTGATTCTGACAAGCCTACAATATTCTGTTATGCTAAAATTGATTTAAAGAAATAAAAAGCATTGTCAGCAGTAGCTTAAAAAATGTTCACATATTCATATATGACAAAGTGAAATCCATTGTCGTATACCAGTTCAGGCACAGATAACATAAAGGGAGGAGAAATGGAATGTTTAATAAGTTACTGTGAGGATGGGACAAGATTTCTCTCCCAATTATATTTATAATACAGACTTGCATTTATAATATATAAACATGTTATTAATTTAAACTGATTTTTACCCATGAGAAATTCTGTTTTGGTAGTTTTAAATATTTATCCTCCTGAAATATAGAGTTTATATCTGTCCCAGTGAGTACTGTGTCTCAAAATATAATCACTATTGCAATATCTTATTATTAAAAGTGTTTCTCAAAGATGAGCTTTTGGTAATTTAGCTAAAGCCAAATATTTTGTTGTGTGAACTTTTCCTGTGCACTATAGGATTTTAGAATCACTACATAATAAATGTGACTAGGCATCACTGTGGCAATTACAAAATGTGTGTTAGTCATGTTCGCCCCCATGGACTGTATAGCCTGCCAGGCTCCTCTGCCCATGCAATTCTCCAGGCAAGAAAACTGGAGTAGGTTGCCATGCCCTCCTCCAGGGGATCTTCCTGATCCAGGGGCCAAACCCTGGTCTCCCGCATTGCAGGCAGATTCCTTACCATCTGAGCCAACAGGGAAGCCCCTAACATAACAGTAGATACTGAGCTTTATAACATGCACAGTAAAGGAAAAATGTGAAGAGATACAGTTGCTAGTTATACCCATTCTTGGGACGAGGGTAGAAGTAGAAGAGACTTTTCTGGCCTTTCATGGAAAGGAGGCAGAGTAGAAACAACCACAACGACTCTGAGTACTTCCTTAAAAGGTGCAGAGAGGAAGGCTCCCCTGAGTGGGTTTGAACCCGCCAACCTTTCGGTTAGCAACTAAATGCTCCAACAGACTGTGCCACAGAGATACATGCAATTACAAAATAAATACCCAAATAAGAATAGAGGAAAAACTGTAACAACATCAAAGACAGGTCATTCGTACTGTCCAAAATGAGTTATGGGTTTATAGTTTTCAATATATAACTCTTCTATTGTATATTTGTAAAACTACTTATGATTAAAGGTTTAAAAACGTCACCTTCTATTTGTAAATCTGGTTAGGTAAGCAGCAACATTTTTGTTTGGCAACTACTGTACTCAGGTAAGAATTGACCTTTTCACAAGGGAATATTTTTATTAGAGTAATATAGAATTTTTTTGATTTATGTATGTAATTCACTAAATGATATGGTAAAGTAATGACATTTCTTTCTGATTCATCTCATCTTTGAAACAACAGTGATGACATTTCTTTAAACTTGATTTGTCATAAACATTATTATCCAAATCCCTTCCATATTAGAAACCAGTTATCAATGAGCAATTATAAAATCAATTCAAATATGAACTTAGTAAATATTAAATACTCAAAACCTTACACAATTAATTGCTGTGTTCCCAGTAGTCAAGCCATTTAAACTCCAGTTATCATTGCTTCATATTGCTTATATTGAATAAACAACATATTAATAATTTTGTGGTCAATTAAGATAATCAATAATTCTATTTTGTCCCTCAGGCCTTCAAGAATGTTTTGTTAAACCTTCTTTCTTTATTCTTCATGATATCTTGATCAAATCCCATAACTTTTTGAGCCAATTTGAATTAGAACTGCCTTCACATTTTAAGGTGCAACTTAAACCAAGAAAAAAAGATTAAAACCAAATTATAAAGACTGAGAATAAAGGAGAAGTGAAATACCATAAGTGAAATGCATATTATAAAATAATATTTCAAATTTATTTTAAAAGTTCAGTCAACATAGATAAACTGAACAAATTCCTAGAAAGACATATATTGTCACACGTATGTGTGCTGAGTCACTTCAGTCATGTTTGACTCTGACACCCTGTGGACTGTAGCCTGCCAGGCTCCTCTGTCCTTGGTATTTTCCAGGCAAGAATACTGGAGTGTGTTGTCATGCCCTCCTCCAAGGAATCTTCCCAGCACAGGAATCAAACCTACGTCTCTTATGTCTCCTGCATTGGCGGGCAAGTTCTTTATCGCTAGCATCAAAATCAACTAGAAAATCTTAATAGATCTAAGGTAAGTGGGGAAAATTAAGCTTTAATAAAAAATCTCCCAACCAAGAAAAAGTCATGCCCACATGGCTTCACTGGGAAAGTCTAGCAACTATTTATAGACCACATAATATCAATTCTTCATAAACTCCTTCAAAAAATAGAGGAGAAAATGCTTACCAGCTTATTCTCCATATTGTAATACCAAAAGTCAATCAAAAATATCAGAAAGAAAAGCATGGATTAACCTCATAAACACAGAAACAAAAATTGCTTAAATATATATTAGCAGTCAATCCCAGAAGTATATTATAAAGCTAATATATAATGACCAAATGTCATTTATCCTAGGCATGTAAGGTTAGTTTAGCATTTAATAGTATTATGATCAATGTGATATATCATATTAATAGAACAAAAAATTGCATAAGCATTTTGATAGACTCAGCATTAGCTTCTGACAAAATCTCACCCATTCACTATTAAAAAAAAAACAATAAATAATGAATAGAAAGCAACATACTCAGTCTAACATAGTTTATCCATGATAACGGAGAAGGCAATGGCACGCCACTCCAGTACTCTTGCCTGGAAAATCCCATGGACGGAGGAGCCTGGTAGGCTGCAGTCCATGGGGTCGCGAAGAGTCAGACATGACTGAGCGACTTCAATTTCTCTTTTCACTTTTATGCATTGGAGAAGGAAATGGCAACCCACTCCAGTGTTCTCGCCTGGAGAATCCCAGGGATGGGGTCACACAGAGTCAGACACGACTGAAGTGACTTAGCAGTAGCAGCAGCATCTATGATAAAGAAGCCCATAGCCAGCATTATATTCAGTGGTGAGAGGCCAAATATTTTCTTTCTAATACTGAGCATATGGCAAGATGTATGCTCTTACCACATATTCACCATTGCACTTGAGGATTTATTTAGTGCAATCAAATAAAAATAAAATTTAAAAGTATTCAGATTGAAAAGAAAAAAAACATTTATCAAAAAATGTCAAGAACCTGTAGGTTGGAAACCCTAAAATATCCACAAAAACTTATAGGTATAATCAGGGCAGCACATCAGGAACAATATTAAAAATGGCTATTGTACATTTAATATACTAGGAAAAAAACAGAGAAAAAAGAATTGATAAAAAATTCAAGTCACCATAGAATCAAAGATAATAAGATATTTAAGAATAAATTTAGAAAAATCAAGGTAGGAATTATAAACAGAAATTGACAAATCATTTCCCAGAGAAATGAAAGGGATTCCTGATAGAAAGGACTGCTGATGGAAATATAAAGTTGTACAGTCTCTTTAGAAAATAGGTTGGAACTTTCTTTAAACCCTGAAGTGTGAAGTAAGATTCTCTCAGTTGTGACTCTTCGAGATCCCGTGGTCTATATAGTCCATGGAATTCTCCAGGCCAGAATACTGGAGTGGGTTGCTTTTCCCTTTACCAGGGGATCTTCCCAACCCAGGCGTCAAACCCAGGTCTCCCTCATTGCAGGCAGATTCTTTACCATCTGAGCCACAAAGGAAGCTCAAGAATTAAATACTGAATGTGAATTTATAAGCCAACAATTCCACTACCGTATGTCTACCTAAGAGAATGGAAGGGACATCCACAGAAAACTTGTATGCATATGTTCATGGAGGTATTATGCATATGGTCCCAAACTGGGAGCAATTCAAATGTCTATCTTTTGGTGAATAGATTAATAGTAGCATATCCATGCAGTAAAATTATATTATAAAAACAGGAAACAAAACAGTGATGTGTGCTTAAACAACATGAATGAACC